TGGAGGATATTTATGAACGGCCGGTTATCTGGGCCTGTTCTAAATTCATCCCCGTGGTTATCTAAACAGAGACCGGATCATAATTTACGTTCGAAGGAATATCAGCTGCGGGTGGGGTGGCAGGGTCGGGAGGGCGAGGGAAGAAGATCCCAGGCCGCTGGACGCCGACGATGGTAATTTTCAGTGCCGACTATAAATTCTTAGCCACGATTCGCCGCGGTGGTACCCGCGTACCGGCCGCTATCGTCCACTCTAGTTACGTCCGCGAGCCGGAGATAGGCGGGTTTCTGCACGCGTTGAATCCGCGATGCCGGCGTACACCGGCCGTTCCACGACCTATCGAACAAATTAGCGGCGAGATAAGGTCGACAGAGACGGATCGTCCAGAGCGCGATACAATTATCCGCGGCCCCAGATGCTGCCTCAACTTCCCCAGCGGACGAGCCTCCGCACTGCTGCCTTGTTTCCCTTACTCGAACGCTAATTCGACGTATGCCATTCGGCACGAGTTTCCGACTCGATTGGCAATCCTCCGAGACTGCCTTCCAGCTTTACGAGCTTGTTTAACGCTGAACCTACTATGACCGATGGATGAGAAACAAGGAAAGAAGGAAAGTTGGAAAAATTAAGTAACAAAGAGAGTGCAAGTCCTTCGGATCATAGAATTAGTTGAAATTTTGTAGGTTTGTAGATTTACTCATCCAGTTCAAGAAAATATATCGTTGTAATGGCAACTACTCGATAGTTTTCGAGATATTTATGATTAGAGTTTTATTATTGCGTTAATTACAGATTTGTTTCGAATATTTATCAAGTGCCGTTGTAGCCTAATGCCGATATTCAAAAATTTCAATGCTAGTGGCAATTTTCGAATGCCGTCGTTAGATCACAATGCTACTTGATAATTATCGATAACTATTCGGAAGAAATCTCTAGTTAACACTAGAACTATCGATCTTTAATGGCTACCAAGACATGGCTGACAATTATGATAGTAATTTCAGTGGTACAAGAAAGACAAGTAAATATGCTAATTACAGTTCAATCTCATTATGAGTCAACACGAATTTTTGTAAAAGCAAGTGTATGTTTTTAGTAATAAAAATTCCGAAACCAGTCATTTTGACACAATTGTCAGTTCTAGTGTTAAGAATAATTAAGTTTTTACAATAGTTACCCTTATAATAGTACATTTTCTTGAACTGCGTGACTAAATCTACAAACTTGCAAAGTTTCAACTAAATCAATAACCCCAAGCACTTGCACTCTCCTTGCAAGAGGGAGTACTGAAAAATTGATTATACCGAAAGACAAATCACGTTGAACCAGGGAATTTAAATGAAAAGTTCAAAAATAGTCATTTAAACTGTGATATGTTTAGCGTTAAATTGCGGTTTATATTTTAGTTGATTCTTCAAAAGATGGACTGGTACCCGAGTCCGGTATTCGTGTAATTTTTATTCCCACAAAGTAAAGAAGAGATATGGAAATATATCCAGAGACCGAAGGGGTGTTTGTTACCCATCGTTGACAATTTCGCACGGTCAAAGTCGCAAATGCAGCTCATTTTTATCAAAGCGAGAAAAATTTATTATCTATCGTGGCTAATGTCAAAGATGCCGCAATTCCCGCGATGCTTCTGACGCGGAGGAAGCATTTGAAATTCCAGCCGTAATTCGTTTGCATTTGCAACACCGTACTTCCGTTATTGCGAAGAATTTTAATGCGAAATTTTACAACTCATTTTACTCGCAGGATGATCAGCTCATAAATGACAGGCGCCATAAATTCCGCACCACATTCTCTCTTCCTCTCTCGATCCTCGCATCTGCTGCTCGACGCGTTGCAACCTTTTCCCAAATCTTCGTGCAAATACCTGCCAAAGAGCGTCAGCGCTCGTATCAGGAACTCCTGCCAAAGACTTAGCGCGGGAGAACAGAAATTGCAGGAACATGGGGGGATACTGGGGGTCATTAAGGAGCGAGACCCCTAAAAAGGTCTGTAGCTGCGAATTTAGATACTACGTTCACCTAATGACCGCGGGTGGCATAAATTCGGGCACCCACGTGGCACGGGGATTCCATTCGCTTGGTATCTCGTTAAACGGGCAGAGACGGTGAGCAGAGCGTGCAGAAAGGTAGAAAAAGGGTAGAAAAAGGTAGAGAAATATTAAAAAAGGGAGACAAGGAACCTCTCTCGTTGTACGGTGTGTACCGATATTCCGTCCTCGGGCTTTTCTCTAACCGGTCCAGTCACTCGTCCGACACGCGAATATCCCACGCGTGTATGAGCCCGATATCTGATCGATTCGGACGCGAGTTGTCATCGAGTGAATGTAACCGAGTCAAAACTACCCGGCTGATAAGCTAACAGCCGAGGGATTTTTCTCCGAGCAATAATTTATCATGCGAACCGAACGGTTATCAGCGACGATTGTCACGGGACAATTCGTTCGGCACACTAATCTTTCTCCGCTCTGGACGTCAATTAATACGTTCCCCCCTGACAGGATTTTCATTTACGTTAAGCTCTAGCAGATAATCTTCCTGCGAAATCTACGTGACGCGTATTATTACAAACGCGTGTTTAAACATATTTTTCGCTCCGATTCGCATCTTCGAATTAACATATCGTAAGTACACTCGATAAACGCGTTAAACAGTTTTATCGCTTTCGCGTTACGAGCTCTGAGTTGAGACACAACTGTTCTCCTTTTTACTCCCAATTTTTGTCATCGACATCGACGATATCAATTTATCGCGAGTAATTTCTCGTGAATTAACGTATACGGATAAATACTTTATCAGGGCAATTTCCAATCATCTAGATTAATATTTCCTTTATAAAATCAGTAGCTGTTCCAATATATGTCTCTATTCCTTTTATCCCATCTTTGATGAATTACAAATATCGATAATTTATTACAAATTAGTATATATAAATAAATATTTAATTAAGATAATTTCTAATTATCTCTCGTATAAGATCAACAGGTATTCACCCCCCTCTTTCATTTTATTTTTAATAAATTATCGATATTAACCCTTTGCACTCGAGAGGTGAGCTTCAGTCACCATTTCTTCAAATTTGCAAGATCGATATTAATTAATATATCAAATTTAATGTAACGTAACAGTGTACGAGGTATCGAAATCAAATAATTCTACAATTCTATTATTATACAATTCTTTATTTACTGCTCGAAAAAGTATCGTCAGTTTTTTCAGTAGAGGATCTTTGATTTTCTACTCTTCTCTAGCCAAAATATCGTCGAGTGGAAAGGGTTAATAATATCGAGTAATTTATCATAAATCAGTATATAGGAATAAATATTCTATCACGATGATTTCGAAAATTATCTAGGTTAATCCCTCACCTTTCTTTATTCCATCTCGAATATATTAGTCATATTAGTAATACCGATTTATCACGAGTAACGTAACTTTTCTCCACCATTTTCGTTCACCCGGATCAATTATTTCCTTTACCAGACTAGGTGCCCCGGGTGCTCGCGCAGGGGTGTCTCTATCCCTTCTTTTTACCCCTTTTTCTTCTCCTTCGTTCCGCAACGTACGAGCACCTAGCCACGCGGTTTTCTCCGCGAATCCAGGTATCCTCCATGTGCAAACGCTCGGCTCTTTTTCTCCCATACCGGTTCTCCGGTTCCTTCGTCGCGGTTGCTCGGTTTCGCCGCACGAAGCTCGTATCTTCGACTCGCGCGTAATTTAATCCGCGAGCAACGCGCAGTCCGCGCGATTACGACAACTTGGAAATTTTCATAATCGACTCCGTCATCCGGATCCGCGCGCTCGTGCTCCGGAGGATGCAGGGTACAGGTTCTTCTAATAAGTCCGTCTCACCGATTAAGCGGCGGATACAGGCGATTTTTCCACCCTGCCCCTTAATGTCGGTGACTGTTTGAAGTTCCTGTTTTGCATCTTATCTCGAGCATTCGCGCGTTTCGCCAGTGAGATTCCGCGATGATTACGCGGGAAAATGGTCACCGGGATCGGAGAGTCTGCCCGTCGCAACGAACACGAGGGTAATTAGTTACTGGTTTTTAATTGAGCTGTAAACGAAGCAGCCGCTACTCGCAGACATTCGTATGCGGAATCCTCGAGATTTACGGCTCTCGCGATTTTTCTATGGTGTCCGTGGGTTTAATCACAGCCGAGGAAATTGCGAGGATTACGGAGTTGAGAATGGAGTTGAATAGTGGACGATAGGTGTACCGATAAGAGCATAATGGTACGCGTTACCTTTACGATTGACGCGTTAATGAAGAGATTAATTGTGGCGGAGGAATGCACGTTCGATATTAATTTCCGAAGGCTCCATTATTAATCTCTTCGTCTACCATATCCAGTAAAACTCGTAAGGAAATCGGGCAAAACGTAAGTACGACTGATGAGAGGATAGGTGTACCGATGAGAGTATAATGGTGCACGTTACCTTTACAATTGACGCGTTAACCCTTTGGCCTACAACCACGAGTCTGACTCGTGGTAAGGAATTTGGGCCATAAGCGAAAACCACGAGTCTGACTCGTGGTGAGGATTTTGTGCTATAAGCGAAAACCACGAGTCTGACTCGTGGTGAGGAATTTGCGTCATTAACAATACGCAGGAGTCAAAGTCGTGGTACTTCGTTGCACAGAAATATACATGTCATAAGAACTATACATTTTACGCAAGACTGACCTTGTTTACTATGGCCCGCGCAATTGGCAGATAGGGTGTAGGCCAAGTGGTTAACGAAGGGATTAATTGTAGCGGAGGAATGCAAGTTTGCTATTAATTTCCGAAGGTCCCATTATTAACCTCATCGTCTACGATATCCCGTGAGACTCGTAAGGAAATCGGCAAAACGTAAATACGACTGGCGGGAGGCGTGGCTGGTAGAGTCCAATGTAAACATTACAAGCTAGGCACGCAGTTAATCCTCAACGATGTTTTTCTGTTTCAGTTGCGTGTTATTCTTTGCTGTGTTCGGACGAAATGGCTCGACGTATCCAACGTGCCACGACGTGCTTGGCGTTCCTGTTGACTACAGCACGTGCCATCGCGACTTAAATGGTAAGGTAAGTGGCTAATACATATAAAAATGTATGTAGAGTATATTGAAACACCGTGGAAAACTGTGATATGTTAGATAATGGGGAAAATTGAACTACGAATGTAGATAAGTCGATAGGTCATCTTCAGGCTTATTATTCTCAGATTAGCATTAGGATTACCGATCTTTAGTAGGTACCAAAATACAGTAGGCATAGATAATAGTTATTTTATTAGTACAGTGAAGATAGATAAGTATATTAACCACAGTCCTATGGCAATACGCGTGAACGTTAATTCTTTTGAAAATCAGGTAAAATCAGGTGTTTGTGGTAATAGCAAAAAGAAAAATTCCGAGACGATTTTGATCGGATTGTTACTTTCATTGTTAACCCTTTGCACTCGACGACATTTTCGTTGCAGAAAAATTGTAATTCGAAGACTTTCTGTCATAGAGTCGGCGATATTTTTAAAATGGTAAATGAGAAATTATATGCAAATTGAGACGTAGAATTATTTTTCGTCGACATTCCACACATTGTTAGGTAATTTTAAATTCGATGTATTAATTAACGTTGATCCTTAGAATCTTACTAAACGGTGACTGATCATGAGAGTCACCTCTCGAGTGCAAAGGGTTAATAGATATCTAATCATCGGTAAAAATTTGCTTACATATTCCATACGCGACTCGAAAGTGAATTCTAATTTCGGAAAGTTGTGTTATTAATGTACATAAAAATTAATTTAGGTATCCTACTCGCGACTCGATAGGGAGGCTGTAATTTCAGAGTTGCAGCATTGGCGGAGATAAAAATTAATTTTAATAGCCGTGGTAGCATATTTGTTATTACGCGAAATTACTCGGAGTCGAAAGGCGTGTTTAAGGGAAGCAAAATGGCGGATAATACAGGAAGTTTTAGCGCCGGAGCACTTATCAGTCGACTATACAAATTCGTTGAAACGTCTTCCACTTATCTTCGCCAGCTTATACAGCCTCGCGTTCGGTTCCATCGTATACTTTAATGTAAATCGATTCCACGTTAGAATTCGACAAGCGGAGAAACCTATCACGAACATCGGATTCACGCTTCCATTCGCCGACATAAAGTCATCGCGAACAACGTCTGCGTCTGGATAAGGGAGTACCCGAAGCTTGATTTACGCCGGTGATCCGCGGAGATCTCACTCACGACTCAGTTACAATCCATTGAAATACCATCCGATGCTCTTCAAACACGCGGCAGCGTTCGCGCTTCGAGAAGTCCGATAACATTTCCAGCGATCGTAACCGGATCGTGACCGTGTCGTTGCTCGATCGCCGTTGTAAATCAGCCCCAAATGACCGTGTAAGCCCCTCGATCGCCTCAGTTCCAGCTGCCTTCGATACGTTTCATTGAATCTGGGCTACGTGCGCTAATGAGCACCTCTTCGAAATCAATTTGTTGCCCGAGGCTTCCAGAAAATTATTTCACTCCCCTCGCCACTTTATTCCCTTTTTCCTCTTATCTCCAGCTCCGCGTGGAGCGCGTGCAATTTTTACGAGCACGGCTAACACGTGTTCGCCATTTTTCTCCATCCGTGAGCGAACCCGAGGCTTGGATACCTTTGCCGAGAATTCTAAATTTCCTTACGAATCTCCTATCCTCGTTGACGTTATTAGAGATATCTAACCAGACGCCTGGCGAATAATTTTCTTCTTAGGATGAAAGCTTCGCTACTACCACGAGGCAGCGATTACTCGCGAGGCGTGGCACCGTTGGCCACGTTAAAAGCGATCGGGTATAATATTTAAGCAGAAGCCGGGAGATAAGATACTCGGGCGAGGTAACGAGATTTATATAATCGCGTTAACCGCGAGCAGCCTGGAGAGGTCCGATTGATTTCAGAGAGGACTGCGGGTAGGTGTCCGTAAGAGCGCCAAGTGTGGGCCAGTTCGGTTACTCGAGAGCGGATAAGGGGACCAGGGAGGACGAAAAAGGTGGTATCCGTGTTGGAAAGGGCGCGAAGGTGGAAGGCTTTCCATTGGGTTCGGCAGAAATTGATAAGACGATGCATTAACTCGCGACGCTGCTCGTCGACGTTATCCGAGGGCAGAGGATACACTCTCTCCTTCGTTCAACCCTCGTTCTCCGTGTCCACTTTCGCTGTCCTCCTTTCCTCTCCCTCTCGTCTTTTCTCTCCTCTTTTTCTCTCCTCTTTTTTATCCTTCCGCCGGTGTGAGGTCCGGATTACTTTGTCACGCGTGGAATAAAATTAGTACCGCTCCGGACCGTATGTACGCGGATTTATAGGCCGATACGGCCGATATTATCGCGAGATAACCTCGAACGAGATATGTCGCAATTTTTAAGCAGTCCTCGGGTCGGATGGACGCGTCGCACGATCCTGTCCTCAGATAAACTTTCCCTTAAACGATCCGTTTTCTCCGGGATTCGCTGTTTCCTGCAGCCCGGGCTTATCGCCAGAGCTGCTTTCCGCGAACTCGTTGCCAATATGGCCGAGCTTGCGTCGCTCGTAAACGGTGCTACGCGATTTTAGATACGCGCTAATTTCTACGCTGGTCAGGCAAATTTTCCGGATAATCCTTATCGGTACTCCGAGCTCGAGTTGCACCCTCGATTTCAATAACGATTCCGTTACATCGATTCCTGGAACGTAGTACCATTTTCTTAATGCTCCGCGATGGTTACGAGATTGGTCTGAGTGGTTTAACGAAATATCTAATATATCCTAAGTCGAGGAATTAAATAGGATAGAACTGTAACGATAAAACTAGCTTTTCCAGATTTTGTAATAATATAAATAATATTTTACACAGGCAAGAATATCTCGTAATTTTTCAAATGTTTCGTATAGTTTAAAGAAGTATTTTTCGTTTAGTACTGCTTTTAGAGAGACTTTGCGTAAATTCTGGAATTGTGGTTGGAATTTTGCGAATTTTCTATCGATCCTCGGCCCAAAAAGACTGACAAACGGGACGCGCTATTATCTTATCCTGGAAACGCGACAGAAACGAAGAAGAATAGTTAGGATCCTCTGTGGAAGGTGCCCGTGTCGATAAATCCTACGGGATTGACTTCCAAATACGCGGCCGGGAGTAAGTAGGCAGGTAGTCAAAACGAGGCAGGGGAAAAAGGACGAATGGTGGAATATAAAAATAACGACGCATCATTAGAGCGAGAAGTTGACCAACGGGGAATTTCACGAGGCTTTTTGTGCGACCCACAGGCCGCTCGAATCTCGACAAGGATATTCCTGGAACTCGTCGATCTTCTTAACATCGAGACTGGAACGAAAGTCGTGCCGGATCCGTAATTAAGAGTATCGGTCCCTCGTCGATTGAATTAATAATAGATAATATTCCGGGCGCAGCGAGTGGCCAGCGTAATGGATCTCTTAATTATGTCGTTTTGCTCGGACGATTAGGGGCCCGATCCGCCCACGACGCTGTCCGAATTCGACGCGGCGCTCGCGTGAAGAATCCTAATTTATGAAAATATATTCACCCGCGAATCGGCTCGCAGCAGGCCTGCCGTGTTCCCGATTAATTCTACGTGTCGCTAACTCGCCACTGCGATCGGGATCCAACCGAAATCCACCCGTTTTCGCTAACAGAGGACGCGATTATATACTGGCGCGATCGAATCTTTTCGCGTTCGACGCGAAACTCGCATCGTTCCCATCGCGTCCTTATCCTGCGTCGCGAGATTCCTTAATTTCGTGCCTCGCGTGTCGAGTCCATTACGTTTCCTCCTCTTCGTTTCCGAGCCCTTTCTGTCGGCCAATTTCGACATCGTGTACGCCATTGCCGTTAATCGTGTATCCACGAATGATATCGCTGTCGTGTCCAGTTGCGAGATAAAGAATAAATATTTCGTATCAGCCTAGCCCGAGTCAAAGACCACGTCGCGAAAGATAGAAATAAAATTTGCTGCAGAGATACACGAATTTCGTCCAGCAAGAGCGCGTATGCCACAGGCCGGCTCTGGAGACTCGAACGCTTGCACAAGACAGGTCGCTAGTGAACGGGACGCTCGCGTTATGGTCACGCTTTCAAACATAGTCCCTCGGAGTAAAAATGTCTGGGAAGAGATAAGATAGAGGAGCAAGAGGAATTTTTAAGAGATCTTTAACTACCGATCGGTTAATTGTACAGCTAGACTTCTGCGATGGTGGCCAATTATGTTAATGAGAGGCAACGGAAGAAAGCTTGAACCGGAGACGCCTACTGTGCGAGAGCATAGTGTGACGAAGGCACCAGTGTTATTTTCTCAGTTCGCATTGGGAGCTTCAGTTTTGCTGGGTAGAGTTACACAATGCTAACTGAGGCTCGCTTTCAGGTAAAACGAGCTTCTCGCGTTGTTCCCTTGTCGTCTTTCGTTTGAAGAATAAAGAAGGCTAAAGTTTTGTAGAAACCGTGTGAAATTCGTTTTCAAAAATACCTGTTCTAACATATTTCCCTACGTATTCGTTGGATAATTCGAGAAATCGATCTGCTTAAATCGTATGTGAGCTTATGCGCGAGTACAGTGGGGAGTTCACGATTATGATTAGCAACGATCTCTTGCGCAGGTGAAAACTCTTCTGGTCTCCTTGTAATGCTGAATAATCTGACAGTACCCAGAGTCATAAGTTTCGTTATATTTTGGATTCCAATTGGTGGGAGTAGTAAAAGGAGGGAAAATATTTCCGTGAAATTTAATTCAAGTTATTTCGAAATTATTTCGCACTCCACCCTTATACACTCAGAAACGTGTCAATCGATTGGTTGAATTCTTGACTTGTCAAGCTCTTGTCAACCCCAGCACCGTTCCATAGTCTCATCTTCCATGTTTGCCACGACGAAAGGGTTGCGCAGAGCAACGAAAGGATTTTTCCAGCCGACATTGGCGTCTCTGGACCAAGTGACTAGTAGGAACGAAGCAGCAGGCATTACAAGTTCAAGCTCGCGTCGTGTGTTCGCGAGACGTGTTAATCGCGCGTTTAATTCGAGCGCGGGTACTCCTACGTGCAAGGATTATAT